AATAATAATTTGTAATGGATCTTCATTGTAATCGTGTTTGCGATGTAACTAGTGATTCTATGTGTAAATAGTCAACAAAAGAGATAGCGATACCAAATAATATTTTTCGTCACAAAAAATATTACTGGCTACAGAAAATTTTGTGATTATTTTTATTAAACACTAAATATATTAGACCCGTTTTATTTTGGGCCTTTAATTTTTGCAGCAAGTTTCTTGTGATTTCGGAGAACATATGGTAACAATTCGGACGCTGCAATAACAGAAACAATATGACTGAGGTGATACTGTATCTTCCAATGATCRTAACAACCAAGGGCTATTTTTAATTTAGTTCTTACTTATGAAGCATGGACATACATCTCGGAGCTCTGTGCGTAAAATTTTCAAACGCTTAAAATTTTGACCTCTTAAAAAGTTTCTAATGGGGTCCCAAATTGACTTTTGCTTAGAGAAACACACATTAAGAACTTTTTGGATCCGTTATTTTCACAGCGGAAAATGAGGTAAGACGATTTACGGTAAGGGATATGATGAAACCTCCTTAGTCTCATGACCTAGTAAAGTCTCACTTCAGATATGCGTAGGCTCCCAAAAAGCCCTTCACGGCCCCTGAGGGCTGCAAGAATTTTACCTTGACATTGACGGGTTGACGGGTAGCTGGACAACCCTGTAGACTCGTATCAAGTGTTCCGTCGGTTGTTCAAAGGATTTATTATTTCCTCCAAGAAAACGCGGACATTTTATTGCCCGCATTTTAACTTCGCATTTCACTGCCGTGATGGGATGCCCGGTAAAACTCTCTAATCAAATTAACAGGGATGTTCGTTAGAAAATAAGTTAAGGAATCTGTAGAAGGCACCAGAATCTCATTCATTCGCACGCCTGACTCCAATTCAGTTTCACCTCTAAGAGGTTCCAATTGTGTGAGCCACTCGTTCTTATGATATATTTTGATATCCAAAAAAGGACAGAATAACTAAAACCGTGATTATGTTGGATTGAAACTAAGTAAGCGCTACCGAACCATTCACTTTAACCTATAAACGATACGGTGATCACCCCCGTTACTTTTATGAAGGAGTGCCTCACCCCCACCTGTCCTTCTCAGATCAGA